TGTCTGTGTGTGTCTGTGTGCGTGTGCGCGTGCGCGCCAACTGTACAATACTTTGAAGGAGTGAACGAGATGATCACGCACGGTGTAATACACAAGCTCAACATATGGGGTCCTGAGAGTTTGGGATTTTGGGGGGATCCCCCCAATCTCATAATCGCTAAAGTGCGACATGAAAGCAGAAACAAGTGCAAGAAACTCTTCGGCACCTTGTGCGCAAGCGGCAGTGAGAAAACTTTGATTGTCTTTTGTCTTTCGGGGGCCACCGCAACCACAACGACGCGGATGACAGCAACAACCGCCGCCGACTACACTGCCACAAACTGCCGATGTGCGATGCTCGGAATGCTGCGCAGGACCTGAAAGCCAAACTTGTGCACCCTGCGCAGAATCATGCTGGGCTTGGTCTTTTTCCTTAGTTTTCCGTTGCTTTTTTTTTTGATTTGTTTACCGCTTCGTGTCTGGGGACCTCCGGCTTCCCCCCCTCTGTGGAGGGGGTCCTGAGCCCTCCCGGCCCCGACGGTATAGGTGTCGAGCCGTTACCCATCAACGCAGTTCTGGCATGTTTGGCAGGCGGAGTGGCTAAAGGACCGCGAGCGTAAGATACGAAGACCTGAGTTGGGCCTCCTCCGGCCTGGGTACCTCTTGTGCTGCTGAAAGAATCCAGCTTGGCCAGCATAGCGACCGATATCCGGAGTTGGTCGGTTTGCTTAACTACCAGTGAGTCGACGCTTGACGCGTGGCATGAAATCATCGGCCCCCTCAATATTGTCAACGCACTGATCCAAGGCATCTTCTACCTTCAGACCTTTCTTGGATGCGAACTGATTCGCACGACTGGCAATCTGAAGAAGTAGCTGCGCATCCGCTTGCTCCGCACTGATGTGTGCACTCATCTCGGCAGAGGTGTCGTGCAGTACCTGGACTGCTTTGTTTGGCTGCACCAACGCCATTGCCTTCAAGGCGGCCGGTTCTTAAGCAATTCTTCCTTCGCATCGCATGTGGCTTGATCACGATCGTCAAGCTTCACTTTGTCTTTCAAGTTGGCCAACGTATGGCGCGCCTCCTGAATTGCTTTGATGAGCTTCTCTGCCTATATCTCTGCCATGTTGATTTTCCTTTTTGTGTTTGCGGCAACAACTGCCTTTGCCCAACTTGATTCACAGGTGCTGCTGCCGCGCGTTGCTCGGGGCTTTCAAAGCGCACATCCTTCCTCAACACCTTCCTGACCCCAGTGGCTGCACGGCGAAGAAGGCTGGTTACGTAAAGCGCACTATCTGAGCGAGCTGACACATAAAGTTCGAAGCGCAATGCGCAGCAGAGCCGAAACTGTTGTACATGAATTGACCGAAGGCGTTCCGCAATTGATGGGGCAAGACGTGCTCACACATCCACACAATTTTCTCTCAAACCCATCTTTCGACACGGTGGACGCTGCCAGGTTTGGCGGGAACCCATATAATTCACTGTCATTCAGACCTCAGGGCTGTGAAGCCGGCCCCAAACCCCACATGTTCCAGGAGACCTGCTCTTGCGTCATTGCCCCTGTACCTGCATGCATGACCTGCTTGACAAGAAAAGTCATTGCCTCGGCTCAACTTCTAACTGATGCAATAGTAATGGTAGTAGTAATAATACTAGTGATAGTAATAATGATAGGAAGAGTAAGAGTAATAGTAAGAGTCATAGAAATAGTAATAGTCATCATAAATAGTCATAGTACTAGTAACCCTCCTTCCCTCCTTCCTTGCTTGCTTGCTTGCGTGCTTTGCGTGCTTGCTTGCGTGCTTGCGTGCTTGCGTGCTTGCTTGCTTGCGTGCTTGTTTGCTTGCCGGCGTGATTGCTTGCTTGCGTGCGTGCGTGCTTGTTTGTTTGCTTGCGTGCTTGCTTGCTTGCGTGCGCGCGTGCTTGCTTGCTTGCTTGCTGGCTGCAGGCCGCGCGGCCGGAAAAAAAATCTTAAAAAACACTCAAAAATAAGAAAAACAAACACCACCACCCATCGTGCTTGGCTTCTCACGAGCAATCAGCTGCACCGCCAGCCATGGTTCCTAGCAGGAAGTCGTTGATTTCAATCACCTGGCGGCAGGTTGGCTGCTTAAGTCCGAAATATCTTCACAGTGGAGACTTTCCACGCCATCACACCACACAGTCCGGGAATTCTGGTCCTTCATGTGAGTTGTGCTTCTTGATAACAAGGTTGCTGTCCCATGATAGCTACTGTTGCCGGTGTGAATTTCCCTTGAGGCCAACCCTGTGCCGCTCTCAGCTATAGATAACGGGAGCGACTTGCCCTAGATGCAAACTTGCCTAGCGGGGCTAGCAGCGTAGGGCCAGGCGTATCGCATCCTGTAGATCTTTGATCACATTAAGATGTGGGGCCTGCGTAGACGGCTTGTTGATGTTTCTTGTCAGCGATAGAATGCTCAGTGGTCACAGCTAGGCCGCAAACTCGGAACCCTAAACCCTCGACCCGAAATGACTCCGAATCGTAAGTGCTTGTAACAGAATGTACCACAAATCCTGAAGGCTAAACCCCAAACCCCCAAAAACATCCTGAAGCCAGGCCTTCTTCACCGTCTGCGAGCCGATGTAGCTGCCCATAGAGGCCCGGGAGTCCACAGCAATGATGATCCCGCCCTGGAACCTCAAAGACAGGTGTCGTTTAGGGTTTAGGGTTTAGGGTTTAGGGTATCATGATCCCGCCCTGGAACCTCAAAGACAGGTTTCGATAAGGGTATTGCAAAAAAAGGCGCTTTCTGGTGTTGGACCCGACTTACTTCGACGACTTGGAGGACTTTGGGTGCTAGGAGTCGGTGCTGAAGCATCTCTGGATTCTCGGCACGAGTGTAAAGGTATACCGGGACTGGCGACGTCGAATCGAGGTTTCGTAGCTAGAAGGATTTAGGGCCTTAGGCAATTAGGGTTTGGAGGGAGGGGGGGGGGGG